CACTACTAGGTTATTGAAACATCCAGGATTTGACTCTGATTCTTTCATTTGCTTATCAGAATTTTGGAATCGGGGAAAAAGTTAAAGTGTTACCTTAGTGTAACCATTGCTTCCACGTTAAGTGTATCAGTATGGCTTAATTCCCACTCTTCTTGCCCTAATTGTAGGTTTTGCCTTATTGAGACTTGTCCAAAAATTGTCAAAGACAATTCTATTAGTACAACTTCAATTGTAAACTCTCAGGATGTGGCTAGTGACACTATATCATCACCACCAGTTCAAGAAGTCATAGTAAGGATTGAACCTCTCCAACATGAAGGTGTGGATCCTAGCAATTAAAATTAGGTATCATGGTATCAGACTGAGGCACATCGGGTCCGATATATATAGAGCCCTAATTGGACCTTGTGGAAGTTGTGAATATATTTTTCCGGTCCATGATTGTGCAGGCTCATGTCCAGACAGTGTCTGGGCATGAGGAGGTGGTGAAGATTGATCTCACATTAGATTGGGACGAGATTTCAGGACTTGTTATAAGCTTAGACAATCATCCTACATTTGAACTAGCGTTTGAGGCTAAGTTAGGTCCAAAACAGTAATTTGATAATAGACTACTATCCAACTAAAGTTGGTATGTGTAGTATATATGTATGACACTCATTTAAAAATTAACTTAAGTTAGCTAGACTAATAGACATTATAACTTTGTAATTATTCATTTAGTTAGAGCAATGAATTCTTGTAAGAGAAATGCAAGAGTGAAATGGTAATTAACACCCATAAAGTTATAATTTGCTTCCACTTATTCAATACTTGGGTTATGTTAGAATGAACTTATAACTTATGATTTATAAGCAAAATACAAATTAAATTTTCTAATTTATGGCTTTAAACTTATTTCACTATTTTAGCTTTAATTAAAACAAGTTTAAAAGTATCTTTCTATACTTTCTTCATGTTAATGTGTCTGTTCTATTTTTGTTTTTAGTCCGTTTCGAAAGCTTTTTCCTTTTTTGGTATTTTTTTTCAACTTTTCACATATCATATCATGTTAAGACCACAAGATAAAATAATATTTTAGAACATTCTACATAATTTTATTGTAAGACCACAAAACTCAAGTTTTCTCTTTACTTTTTGAAACTATGTATTAAGTCAAAATCAAATAAATAAATTAAAATCGAAAGAGACATGATTTTCTTTTCGCTTATTTGACTTGTAAGAGAACTCGTATTCGCCTGACCCCAATTAATAACAAGTTAATAAAAATAAAATAAAGGAAATTTTTATATTATTTTTAAAATAAAAGTCGGTAATATATTTAATGCCTTTTTTGATCTTTTTGTTGGGTTCGTTATCTCTTCATAAATCCACTAACTTTGGTTTCCCAGAAATGGCCTTGTTGCTTGAGAACCATAAACCATAATATAAAATTAAAGTATTCATTTTTAAGAGAGGATAATTTAATTTTCTTCATATTTAGAACTTTAATTGGTGGATTCAAAAACAAATTGTTTCTATAGAATTAGCCAACATTGTACATGTTGCAAGTAACGGCAACTGGCAATATATTTGGGACCCCTAAGTCAAACAAATAACAAATAACAAGTTGATTAGAGATCTTCTTCATTTGGTCAACCTAGTCCAATAATATATATATATATATATATATATATATATTATTGGACTAGGTTGACCAATCGTAATCAGATTGTTCCTTTTTAAACCTAAATCACCATTTTACCGCCGAAAGGGGCAGCAACAAAGGGAATCTACTTCAGCAATTGTTGTTTATATATTAAATTGAAATAATAAAATGTTGTGGAATTATAGTTCCCCTTATCTATATATTATTAGACTAGGTTGATCAATCGTAATCAGATTGTTCCTTTTAAAACCTAAATCACCATTTTACCGCCGAAAGGGGCAACAACAAAGGGAATCTACTTCAGCAATTGTTGTTTATATATTAAATTGAAATAATAAAATGTTGTGGAATTATAGTTCCCCTTATCCCTCAAATCAAAACTCAAACTTTTTCGGAGGAGGTAGTTACAAATATTAGTATTCTTGGGGACAAACGGGTCCCAACTTGAGTATTTGTTTTAGTCCCCTTACAAAAGTACTAATAACACATCATTTTCCTCAGTAAGACTTGTGTATGCTTCATTTTGCTTATTGGGTGCATGAACATTCTTGTATATTAATGGTTTAAATAGTGGTGTCACAATAAAGGTTGAATCTTTATAAGAATACAAGATTGTGTATGCTTCATTTTGCTTAATGGGTGCATGAATGTTCTTGTATATTAATGATTTAAATAAAGGTTGAATCTTTATAAGAATACAAGATTGTATGCTTATTTTAGTTATAATTTTCAAATTTAGAATCTGAGATTATGATATTCTTGATTTGTATTGGTAGGGGTCTAAAATCTTTCTGACCTTGTTAAAAATTTTCTTATTAATTATTTTGGTATTATTGGGTAGTATAGTATACATTGTGTATATTACGGTTCGTATTTGTGCTGAAAAGATTGAATCTCCACCATCCTTTTATGCTATATACTTCAACAATTTATGTACTTGCTAGAAACCTCTCACCAAGTAGGGAATCTACTTCAGCAATTGCTATTGTTTATTAAATTGAAATAATAAAATGTTGTGAAATTATAGTTCCTCTGTAGTTGGATAATATAACTTGAATTTGAATTATCATTTTTTTTAAAAAAATCTATCTTAAAATAATTTTCAAACTTGAATTATATGTTAACCGATTGATTACAATCTCTAAGAGTGTGCATTATTTGTGCATGAGTAATTTGTTGAATCAAATGCATTAGCTATTGAACAGGGTGTGCTAGTCTCAAAACTATTGTCTCATTCCACTTCTCTTTTCAAAAGGAGATATTTCTACCATTTCCCACCTCCACTCTGGTTTTTGCTTGAACACACTAGGTGGCATAGGAAAAACAGACATCATAGTGTCAAGTACATTGTTTACTAGTGTCAGTCTGCCTCCTAGGACAAGTATTGACATTCATATATTTGGTTTAGTCTATTGTTCCTGTCGTTAGGCTTTCGACCCTAGTAGATCATCTGGATAAGATGGCTAGCTATCCAGAATTAGATTGATGTCTGAAAGGATTATGTGTGGGGTTGATACCCCGGATCCGTCAGATCCATTTAAGGACCATTGTAATGATAAGAAAAAGATTGTTGGTGGCTTATTGATAGATTTATTAGATCTGCACCATAACAGTGCCATCTACAATTACAAAAACCCTATCATATTGGACTACAGCTTCACAAGAAACCAATTGTCCCTGTCGTTAGGCTTTCGACCCTAGTAGATCATCTGAATAGTATGGCTAGAATTCATGCTAGATTGTTCTCTGAAAGAGTTAAGGGTGGGGTTGATACCCCAAATCATTTGTCTGAGGACCACCTTAATGATAAGAAAAAGATTGTTGGGGGCTTTATTGATAAATGTATTAGATCTGCACCAAAATAGTGCTATCTACAATTTCAAAAACCCAACTATGCGGGACTACAACTTCACATGGAACCCTTTTTGAGAGAAGGGTAACTTTGTATTCACACTAAAAAGTTCATCATCCAAAAGTCGATGAATTGAAAACTTACATCCCACCTTTGGGTTTACTTTACAAGTTTCCAATAAAATCAACTAAGCCTACTATATCCCCTACCAGATTTTGTTTACACCAAAAAACAAAAAACTTATACAATTTATTTTAATCTTCTATAAGTTAGTCTTTTGTTCCTCAAAACTTCTTAAATTTCTTTCTTTACAAAGAGTCCACCATATGCAAGCAAGTATAGTTCTCCATCAGTGTTCATTCCTTCTTTTATTTCCAATACCTTTCCAGCTATTTAGTAGTTCATTTGTTGTGCTAGGCATCACCCATTTAACTCCCAACAGAGTCAATAAACATGTTCCATAGCTCATAGTTGTCTTATAATGAAGGAACATATGGTCATTGACTTCTGCTACCTGCTTACACATGACACATCTTGAACAAAATTGTCATATCCTTTTCTGTAAGGCCTCATGTGTTAAACAAGTTTTTCTTCTTTGCGTACTCAAAGTGTAAAGATGTGGAAAGGAGTTTCAAAGACTGTCTTCTCCAAGTCACACCTCATTCCAGAAATCAGTTTTCAAACCATTTCTAATGGTGATTGACATGTTGTTATTGAAATGAGGCAATAATCTTCTTATGACTTTTTAAGCACTACACCCAAAGGTTTCCACAACCTCCTAAGTTGTCCAGTGATTGAGTAAATCATACTTTTTTGCTATGAATCTTCTCCAAATGGGTCTCTTTTCTGAGGAGAACCTACAAAGCCATTTCTGCAATAGAGAGGTGCTTGGTTTGATGAGGTTCTTTAAGTATCAACTATCATATACAAGGTAGGACAATTTTCCACCACTTTTTTTGTCTCACTGCACAACCATCATAGTTCGGCAAATTCTCACCTCTCTATCTATCTATGAGATGTTTGAATTTTTCAACATTCCATAGACATCTCCATATGAATAGAATTTAATTTGTGAAAGGAAAAGGGATTGATAGTGTAGTAACTTCACAGAAGTCGCCCTTTGGTGTAGTTTCTTGACTTCTCTTGAATGGAAAACTTCATGCTTGAATATTGTCATGTTGTCATGTTTCTTGGTCGATTGTTCAACTATAGATTGTCTTCACATCCTTCGAAAATCTTGCTTGGCTTCAAACTTTGTTCACTTGTTTCATTATGTCACAATCATAAAGTTGACAGATTTAATTTGAAAATTAATATATAAAAGAAAAATGAAAGTAATAAGTAAGAGGTAATTAAGAAAAATAGGAAATGCATTCATAGATTTTGCAATTAAGCTTTCAAAAAATGAGGCAAAACAACATAAAGTTTTAAGGCACGATTTAAGCCTCGATTTTTTTAAAAAAATAGTGCTACTCCAAGAAGTTTTACTACTTGCTCAATCTACCAAGACTCCCGGCGAACCAGAGACGAAGTACTAGTCCAATTCTTCAAAGTCTCCTCTGGTTCAGCACCCCAAATGGTCGGTGTCTCGTTGTTGTAGAGAGGTATGTAAGATGTTGCAGCAGTAACCTCTATCAACGCTTGTTCATGTGTTGTCATGATATGAGCATCAAAGGACGATAAAGTATTATTTTCACCTTTCCAATGTGCACAATACCTCCTTTCACATCCAAATCCTCCTCAATAGTTATCATGTTCACATTGGCATTCCCATGTTTAGGCAGAGGGTTATTGTTCACGTTGGGTTGAGGTCCAATAAGTTGGATTGCTCCTTCTTTAATTAAAGCTTCAATCTTGTTTTTGAGACCATAACAATCTTCAGTGTTGTGTAAAACAACTCCAGAATGATAGGCATAACGCTTCGAACTATCAAACCATTTTGGAATAAGATCATGAATTTTCCCTTCAATTGGTTGTATCATACCTGCTATTTTTAACCTCTCAAACAACTGAGCCAATGGTTCTACTATTTTGGTATAGTTGCGAGTGGTTTTGATTTCATGATTTGGACCAGCTCTAGGTGCAGCATATGGTCGATTTTGAAAAGTTGAAGCTTGGAGTGGTTGGTATGAATGTGGTTTATTATAAGTAGGAGCTCGAGGTTGATAATAGTTTGTTTGGGTGTTGTAGACATGGTAAGGAGTTGATGGAGGATAGTAGAGATCCTGTGAGGCTTCACCATATTGGTAAGGGTAAATGGGTTGATGTGGTTGATGTGGTTGATTTAGGTAGGGAGGAACTTGACCTGGCATGCATCTTTGGTCAATCATGACAGCAGATACATCTTCTTTCTTCTTTTTGTTCCCATTGATAGAACCATATTGAATCGCTTTGCTTGCAGCATGCGAGGTTGTAAAGTCTTGGATCCTTCCTAATTTGATCCTTTCTTCCAAGATTTCTCCCATTCTAATGATTTCCGTGAACTTTTGTCCCATCATGGTTATCATTTTCTCATAGTAAAAACTGTTATCTTGGGATTCAATAAAGGTAGCAGTCATTTCACTTTCACTCATCGGTGGTTGGACTCTAGCTGCTTCTGACCTCCAACGTAGAGCATACTCACGAAATGTCTCAGTAGACTTCTTCTTTAACTTAGTTAGGTAGAAACTATCTGGTATGATATCGGTATTGAACTTGAATCGATCTATAAAGTCTTGTGCCATATCACTCCAACCACGCCATTTATGGAGATCTTGTTGTGTGTACCAAGCAAGAGCTTCACCAGATAAACTTCTTATGAACAACTTCATTTTGACCCTCTCATCTCTCCACACTCCTACCAGTTTGTCACAATACGCCCTTAGATGTGTATGAGGATCACCAATTCCATTGAAAGTATCAAACTTTGGTAGTTTGTACCCTACAGGCAAATCAATGTCAGGTTGCACACAGAGATCCTCATATTCTAGGCTTTTGTTTCCCCTAGTAGTTTGGAGGTTTCTCATTGCTTCCTTAACATCACGAATCTCTCGAGCTAACACATTATCAGCCTTTACCTTGACATTTTTTTCCATTTCCTCATATTGATCTACCTCGGGTTTAAACTTGGCCGATATTGGGTTGGTAAAGGCTTGAGTTTCCACCGCATATACTGGAGGAACATGTTGCACATAAGGAGTGGCAATATGCGCGCCCTTGTATATGTTGAGTTGTATAAGTTTGGACAATGGACGTATTTTGGATTGGAAGTGGTGTATTTGATGGGTTTACATGATTAGTTGTAGGTAGTGGATAAGTGTTGGTGGGTATGAGTTGGAGGTTGGTTTTGTGGGTTGACAAGTGGTGGATTAGGAGGAGTAGCATAGGTAGTATAGGTAGGTGGTAGACTTTGTGGAGGAGTGTAGGCGGGTGGAAAATTTGATGGATTTGAGGGGGTAGTTGAAGGAAGGTTATTGTTGGTAGGCGGAGGTTGTTGTGGAGGAAAGTGTTCAAGAACTGGTGAATCAAGTGATGGAAAACGAGGTGGATTTGGTGCAATACTTCTAGGTTCATGAAGTGGACTTTGGAGTGTGATAGATAAATTGGCCAAGTCCCTAACTCGAGTTAGTTCACTACGTAAATCCTCAATCTCTTGAGTCAAACAAGTGATTTGTTCATCATGTTGAATAGTAGTTCTATCTTCGGAAGTCTCGGGATAGTTAATAGGAACCATGATATGTCCTGGACCAATTGGATCAGATGCGGTTGGATTAGTCATAGTATTTTTTCTTCCTTGAATAGCCCAACTACGCTGAGGTAGTGTCGATGACTTGGACCTTGTGAAGTAAGGATGGTCGGCCAGCTCGATTGTCAACACGAATCAACTTTGGTAGGAAAAAATAAAATAAAAATAATAATAAGACAGAAATAATATTAGTTTTAAATGAAAAAGTAAAGTCATGTTCACATAAATAATTCACGTGGCATGCAAGTCATCAAGTAGAGTCAAATAAGTTGTAAGAATAACATGTAAATAAGTCATCAAGTAAATTCAAATATATCGCAAAGATAACATGTAAATGTGTCCTAATATGCTTGTGACCTCTTTGTGCCAGAGGTTGGCCTAACGTAAATTTAAGAAGTATATTTGCCATAATATGTCATCCCACTGCTCTTGATTAATTAAACAATTTTATTTCTCCAAAAATAAAGTACTAGATAATGAAATTATTTATTACATGTCTAATAAATACAACGTAAAGTACTTCCTAAAGTAAAAGAAATTCTAGTATGTTTGTCCTTCTTGGTTCCTTTTGGTGATATCATCACTTATTGTATTTCATCGTCAAATCTTCGTATCTGTCACAGAAAGGTTAGTCATACCATCTCTAAAGTTTAATTAATTAGAGCAAATGGTCCATATTTAGGCATAAATATTTCTCAAATATGCACATAAATAATGATAGGTCGTCACTTGGGGTCGGAAACCCACTTGGACATTTAAGGTAAAGTCGGCAAATGGATTTAATACACCAAGGGTATAAAGTCTCTTAGGTCATGAAATGATGTATGCTCCTTGTAAAGTGTGTTGGTTTATCTCTACTCTAGGTAAACTAGGAGTGAGTTTTACTAGACACAAGGTTCTCGAGTGGACTACTCGAGTGAGAAGGCTACTGTCACGACCCAAAAATGGACGTGATGGCACTCGTCTTATCCCACCAAGACAAGTCAGCCTAAAACTCAACCATTACAATAAAATGCGGAAATTTCATAAGCAACTCAAAAATACCCCCAAAATCTGGTTGTCACGTGTACAAGCCTCTAAAGTATTACAACTGATTCAAAAGAAAAACACAAGTCTCATATGACATTGTTTCTAGAGTAGAACAAGATCATAAACAGGAGTAAGAAGGCCTGTTGAGTTGACAAACAGCTACCTCACAAATCTCCAAGAAGCCTCGGAAAGGAAGAGAATATATCACAAAGGTCCGGGCTAGTGACCTACAAAAAAAATGTAGTAGCAAGGGATGAGTATCAAACCACACGGTACTCAGCAAGTAAACCTCTAAACACAAGCTAAGGGGATAGAATACAAGTACTCCTTACACCCCAACCGAACCTTCACAACTACAATCTGTATAAAACCAGCCCAACCTAACAGTTCGAAATTTACAAAGCACATAGCTCAACACAACACTCTAACAATTTCATATCCTCAACAACAACAATAGTTTCATATCCTCAACAACAACACTCTAACAATTGCATATCTTCAACAATAAGCCTAATATTCATCAGTCACAAGTTTCATAGAAAGGCACTCACAAGATCAGCAACACACAAGATCAAGTTCACCAATAATAAAGAAGTGCAATGCAATGAAATGCAATGTCAAGTATAGTGATGCATGTCTGACCTAATGATACACACCCGCTGTCTCTCAGTCCGGGACCCATGGGGGACATATCTGTCCATGCATCCATCGCGGCGCGGGATACGACCCTCGATAATAGTAACCATCGCGGCGCGCGATACGTCCCTCGAAATATAGTATCCGTCGCGGCGCGCGACACGTCCCTCGAAATATAATATCCATCGCGGCGCGCGATACGTTCCTCGAAATGGTACATCCTCTTTATTTTCTTATTCTTTCTCAATGCACATAACACTTGTCACAACCATGTCTCAGAACAATGCAAATGACATGTTCACACAAATAATGAAGAGATGACCATTTTCATAACATTGCATAATTCACAACAACACAATCAAGATACAACATCAAGAATGATTCAACAAACCTTTCAAACAATTCTCAACATATCACACAAACAATTGATCACATTGCCTTTTATTATCCCTTTCTCATCATTAGAATTAATCAATGTGGACAAGTCAATCCATCACCAAGCCTCATTAACCTAAACACATATTAGAAGGAAATACATGAATTTCATACACTTAACAAGGGTTTAGAAATCCACTTGCCTCAAATAATCGAACAATCACTCCAGGACTTGAGCCTTCCTTTTTCGTTGAACTTCCAACTCAAAGCAATCTAGTCAAATAATTAACCACAATAAGATTTCAAAACTAACAACACTCATGCTACTATAGGTCTAACCTAGACCCAAAAACTCATCCCAAATCTATAATCAAGTTCTTAAATCTCGATGTCAATTAACATGTCAAACTCTTTCAATTTTCTCCAAATTTGAAGCCTAGGGTTAAGTCCCAACTTCTCCAATATTATAAATCTAAGGATATTCACAAAATACAATACCCCTAATATTTAATTACCTATTTCAATATGTCAAAAATATAGTTTATAATGTGACAATTATGGATAAACAAAAATCTGGAAAATATCCAAAACTGGTTCGCTAACTCCTGAATCAACTGTAACCATTGAATCATTATTCCTAGTATTCACCATTTTTCTATCATTAGCCAATCACCATCGTTTCTCAATTCCAAAATTACTTTATACAAATATATACCAATTTTCTTATTCCAAATCCCCTTTTTCCTCTTCAAAGCCAATATAAAGTAATACTAACAGTTATTATGATTACATAAATGGAATTTGGCCGTAATGATCACATGATTGCACAAAATCCAATTCTAATCCACTGTAACTTATAAATATACATATAATTAATCAAGTTTGCAATTTGATTCCCTTCTTACTCTTTCTCACACATTATTATAATGATAATAATACTTATAACTACATTTGACCTCAATACACATTTTCAATTGCATAATTAATGAATTTATGAATGTTACCTGATCGTGAAGTGCAGTGGATGGTTTCCACGCCAGTCGCCGCTATACGTAGGTAAGTCTCCATTTCTTTTCTTAAGTTATGAACCAAAAACTCTCAACCCTAATAATTTATTTTTCTACAAGGGTCAAGTGGTATATGGTATTAAAAAGAATTATAAATTTAATCCATAATTATTAACTAAAATTAGTTATTTAATAATTAACCGTCAATTAATTTACTCTAGTTAAATGAATATTCAAAATTTCCAAAAATGACCTTCCGGGTCATTACAGCTACGCGGTCACATGGAAAAAGATCCGGACACCCCGCGCATATGCCAACTCTCCTAAATTTTGGAATTTTGAAAGAAATTTGCGGGTGGGAAAAACACACATCGCGTGTACGTGTGATAGTGTGAATTTTCAAGAAGTGGAGAGTTATGAAATGACAGTTAAGAAAAGCAGTAACACATAAACATTTATAACAAACAAACAATTTATAGCATGTAAACATAATTTATAGCTAATGAATAATTTATATCATGTGAAAATAATTCAAAGCAAACAAACAATCAATTGCATGTAAAAACAGTTTACAACAAATAATGTAATTAAAGTAAGCACATAAAAGCCTAATTAAACTAAATCCGTTGTGGTTAGAACCTATTAAGTCCCAGTGAAGTCGCCAAGCTGTTATACCCCAATTTAACCAGGTCAAAATAGTATACAATATTTAGAGATTTCTAAAGTTAACTAACTTAAGAAGTCGCCACCTAATTATTTAGGGTGAATTAGGGCACCTAAAATTGATTAAAGTCATGCCTAAAGTTAAAATACGTGTTCAATTAACCTAAAGGGAAGGGGTGAGGAATCCTTTAAGATCCATTAAAAATGGTTAACCGGCCGAACTTGATTGATTAATTAGGCTAAGTGTAAGAAAGTCAAATTTATGTAAAAATGCTAAATGTTAGAAAACTTTAAAGTCAATTCTTGTGAAAATTTGTCTTGTTGAAAAATGTGCAAAAGGAAAATAGTTTTTTAAAACATTTAAACTTGTTTGTTGGAAAATAAGTGATACCTTCATTTGGATTGGTAAGTAAAAGATTTTTTTATCAAAAAATGAAGTATTAGAAGTAGTAAAACAGAGTCTAACGCAGTAAATTAATTTTAGAGAGCTTATTTATCATAAAAAAGGGACTGATTAAAGAATGAGATGGATTTTAAGTTTTAAGAAAAGTATTACTACTATTCTTTTATGTCAAGAAATTTAACTCTAATCTACTCGATAAAATAAGTTACTACTAGCATACTACACAAAATGTCATAC